AAGAATCCACCTGCAATGCAGGAGACCCTGGTTCGATTCCTCCTGGGTTGGGAAGATCTGCTGGAGTAGGGATAGGCTACCCATTCCAGTAATCTTGGGCTTCCCTTGTGGCTCAGCTGGTAAAGAATCCATCTGCAATGTGGAAGACCTGGGTTTGATCCCTGGGTTGGGAAGATCCCCTGGAGAAGGAAAAGGCTATCCACTTCAGTATTCTGGCCTGAAGAATTCCATGGACTGTATAGTCCATGGGGTCACAAAGAGTTGGACATGACTGAGCAACTTTCACTTTCATTGCATGTTAGGCACCATGTTAGGTACACAATACCTCCCCCAAACCAGTCAAAGGCTGATCTAGTACTATTTAGTACTACTTCCTATCATAGCACTGAAATAATAACTCATAACCACTTATCTTATAAAGAATATTCAAGTCTCTTCTACATTTCACTTAGTCATCACATCAAGGCTTTTACAACCCTCTTTATAATAGCTTCAGCCATAATGTGTATTTTTTGCTTCTTGGATTAGTTATTCATTAATAGTTCTATTACAAATGTACTATTTTATAATTCCCTAACACTTAGCAATATTTCTTCTTTTAGTGTGGTAGATTGTTTGATCTTGAATTCTTAGCCCTATGTCTCAATGCAAAGGTTGCTCTTATAAAGGGGTGATACCCCTTTGCTTACTTTTTGGAAGGAGATTAAGATATATGTGTATATATATATATGTGTGTGTGTGTGTGTGTGTGTGTGTGTGTGTGTGTGTGAGTATATATATATAAAGATACAGAGATGAATCCAAGTTAAAAAAAACTTGAGAAACAGTGAGTTTTGAGATTATTTTTGGTAGCCTCTTGAACATATTTTATCAACCATCTAGTATAATATTATCAACATATTAGAATATTAAATATCCATACTAATCATATAAATATTGAATATTATTATTTCATCTTTCTTTTTTAAAAATAAGTAAAGCTCTTTAATGCATATTTAATGTAATAACAGATATAAAATGGCTTGTCTTGAGGATGAATTTATAAACTTATTTAAATCATAACACTCTAGACTAGGTCCTATGAGGTTACAGCTTTACCTACTAAGTTAACAACAAGAGTCTTAAACAGAGATTCTCTAACTTTCTTGCTTCACAAAACCTTTACTGTCAGAATTACTTTTTATGGCACACTAAAAGAAATACATAAAACCTTTGCTTATTACATAGATAAGTCCAAGTGACATAATAGACACATTTGTTCTAATTGCCTAGTAACTTTTGGACATTGCAGAACTTCTCAAACTTTGGAATCAGATTGGACACGGTCATTATCACTTTGTATTCCACATTAATTTTTGTATGTAACATATTTTCACAGAAATCAATGGAAAGTGGTTTTTTTAAAATGCCATCAAAAGGAAAGTAGTGATCTAATGTTGAAATTGTGAACTACCTCAAGGTAGTATAGTTCACAGTTCCCAACAGGTACAGATGGTACTTGGAATCAGATTTTCATTCTGTGTGGAAAGTTGACCAAGTTATTTAGCTTATTGAGCTTTACTTTCTTCACCTGCAAAATAGCGTTATCAAAACTATATACATATAAAGACTAATTAGTGGAATCCCTGGCATAATATATACTTGTTATTTGGTTACTATTATTCAAGGAGCATTTGACCCACTATCAACAGTAGGAGTTACTAAATTGTCAAAGACTTTATTTGCCCCCAGCTTTGATGACTGAGTAGAATGACAGTGGTTGTATTTTAAATAAAATTTAAATTAGTAGAAATATTTTAGAAAGCATCAGAAACCAAATTTTTAATGGAAGGACTGATAGGCTTAGATTTCAGTTTAAGTTTTGTGACTATTAGAAAAGTTACTTGACCTCCCTTTCCTGTTCTTTAAAATGGTGAAGATAGTATCATGGTGGGTATAATATTTGGAGTAATTTCCCCCTTTCTGTAAAAGTAAAAGGCACTCAACGAGTATAAGTTTCCTTTTCTCCTGTCTTTCAGAGATTGTTTTCCCACTGAGACTGATTTGGTATGGCAACCCACTCCAGTACTCTTGCCTGGAAAATCCCATGGATGGAGGAGCCTGGTGGGCTACAGTCCATGGGGTCGCAAAGAGTCGGACACGACTGAGCGACTTCCCTTTAAGGGATCCTTTAGGAGACATTTTCTCTTAATCCTAATCATTGATCACTCTTATCTGTTTACAGAAGAAAGCACTGCATTTTAGTCTTCAGCCAGATTGTAGATGATAGAATAAAACTGCCACAGAATTCTTGGAATGTAGGCTGGCTTTGCTGCCTGTTGATCTTTTTTGGTTTAGAATATAGTATAGGAACTCTAAAAAGCAGAGACATTACTTTACCAAGAAAAGTCCATATAGTCAAAGCTATGGTTTTTCCAGTAGTCATGTGTGGATGTGAGAGTTGGACTATAAAGAAAGCTGAGTACCAAAGAAGTGATGCTTTTGAACTGTGGTGTTGGAGAAGACTCTTAAGAGTCCCTTGAGGAAAACAAGGAGATCAAGCCAGTCAATCCTAAAGGAAATCAGTCCTGAATATTCATTGGAAGGACTGATGCTGAAGCTGAAACTCCAATACTTTGGCCACCTGATGCAAAGAACTGACTCATTGGAAAAGACTCTGATGCTGGGAAAGACTGAAGGCAAGAGAACGGGATGACAGAGGATGAGATGGTTGGATAGCATCACTAACTTGATGGCATAATTTGAGCAACCTCCGGGAGTTGGTGATGGACAGGGAAATCTGGCATGCTGCAGTCCATGGGGTCACAAAGAGTCGGACACGACTGAGCGACTGAACTGAGTTGACTGATGGGAACTCTGTCTAGACTGTCATGAGGCAATTATCAGTTACTAATTACTTTTTTATATTCTCGAAGATGTTATTATTTCTCCTTGGCTATGACAACTAGGGTGCTGAAATGGAAAAAAGCTGACTTCAAACAACTTATTTTAAAAGTAGGTACTTACTAATAGGTTTATTTATCTTAATTCAATTTGAATTTTCCCTTAAAACAGATTTATTTGTTTATGAATGGGACATGATTCTCTAGATTCTTTCAGATGAATACCTTTGATTCTTAGAAATCAGGTTACTTAATTTTTTCAATCTGAATTTCTGAGTTAATCCTTCCTGCTTGACATAAATCTCCCTTATCCTAATTTAAGTTTTTAAAACTCATGTTCTATCTTTGCACTTGTAAAGCAGCTCCTAAGTCTTTTTGGTATAATATCAGCAATGACTACATAGACAATCCAATTGGTGAAAAGGTATTGACAGAATGTTCCTTTAGTCAGATGTTCCTCTCTCCCTTCTTAACACTGTGGCTATTTTCACAAAGCACAGAGCTCAAAGTGGGATCTTCCAACTGGAGAAGCAGGCACAAAGAACTGCCAGACTTTCCTGTGGAAAAGGAATGGGAAGAAGGCAGGGGCTGACTGGCAGGTGTGGGAAGTGACAGTATTAGGAATTCTCTTACATTGAGAGACTTAAATAAGCACAAAATTTTGTAATTATTCAGCAATTTATTTTCTGCATTTTAAAAATAAATGTATGAATAGCTTTCTTTGTGGAATTAAGTTCATGTGCCATATCTAGAGACAAAATCCAGCAGATTGATGTTTATCTACAGTCACATATTCCATGTTATTTTATGGCATTTTTCTTTTCTTTTTATTTTTTGAGATATTTTTGAGATAGGAATTACTCCCAAAGAAATAATGATTACATTAAAAAGCCACACATGGGAAATGATGGAAAAGGCCAGTAGTTATGCTTAGATGAGCTCTGTAAGATTTTACTTTATAATTTCTGCTTTTTTGCAATTTTAGATTTTCTTTGAAAAGTATATTTTAATGAGTACTTATAATCTTAAAAAATGAGTTTGCATTTTATCTAAATATAGAAATCAAATGGATGCATCAAGTACCCTAGTCAGTCTGTTCCTTCAAGCTGTTTTTACTTAGTCAAACAGGATTAAGATATAGAATAAAAATTTTTGTCAATCTGCATTTTTTTTTGCAACATATATCTCAGAAAAGAATAATTTTAAAAACAAAAGTGCTTAAATATATTCATATCTGTGTGTTAATGACAGTATTTTCTCTTTTTTCACGTTCTCTTCAGTCAGGTACACTGTGCTTAAACGTAATTAAGCAGAAAAGGCAACAAAGTATAACCCCCCCACACATTATTATCCCCATAATCTGATTTTAAACAGCAATTATGTTTGTAAATATTTTATGCTATTTTTTCAAAAAAATTACAGTCACTACTATATGTAATTGCTTTGATGTTATGTAAGTTTCTAATAGATAACATAATCTCTGAGAAGTTATTTGGTTGAGAGCCCTCAGTGGGTTAGAGACAGGCTGCCTAACTGTGGAATCAGAAAAAGTAATAATTGCCTATACTAAATGGAAATATTAAAGTTTAAACCATGAGAATCTTTGAACAATAATACATATGTGCATACAATTACAATGATTGTCTTAGATCAAAGTCCCTGGTTTGAGAAGAAGTTTGATTTGACATTTAGTAACTAAGTCTTTTTCCAAGATGCTGCCTTGACACAGCAAAGCCACATACATATCAGCTGTAGAAGATTTTGGCTTTTAAATGTTAAAAAGTAATAGGAGCAGATAGGTGCCTAAAATATACTTTTATAATAGGAATGAAAAGCAGTTTAATAAATCCACATTCAGTTTCTATTTGATTGTAAATATATAAAGAGTTTTTAGTTATGATGTACCTGTCTCACAAAGTACAATTATCTAAATAAGCACTTTTTAAAAAGGAATTCCTTACTCAACTCTGTGCTTTCTGTAAAATACTGCAAAACTGTGTGCATCTGCAAGTTAAAAACCCTTACAGACAGTAGGCTAAAGCTAAACAGAATTTGATTGCAGACCTGACTATGTTTTTCTGTGTTTTGTCACCAGAAACGTGTCATGCTAGAATGTGCTCAGGATTTTTTGAACAGTCCATGAAAAGTGACAGGGATGTTAATCTCCACTTCAGCCCTGGCAACTTCACTCAAGTCCTTGGCATTCAGAATCAGAAGATAAGCAGGCTTTTGTCCTGCCCCAGGGCTCACCACCACACTCAGAACTACACCTGTTAATGAGAAGTTAATAAGGCAGTGTTGAATTAAAAAAAAAAAAAGCCCAGAGCCATAGATTAAATGTCATTGAAATACTACAGGAGACATTACACTCACAAATAAAGAAAACCAGATGACCTGATAGCGTGTTCTGACTCTTCTGCCACTTGGCTGTGTGGCAACGATGAAAGTGAAAGTGTTAGTTGCTCAGTCGTGTCTGACTCTTTGCAACCCCATGGACTGTAGGCTCTCAGGTTCCTCTGTCCATGGAATTCTCCAAGCAAGAGTACTCTCTTGCATTGCAGGCAAATTCTTTACTGCCTGAGCCACCAGCAAACCCCATGGCAACCGGGAGAGGGATGTTAAATTTTTCAAGTCCCCTAGACTATAAGCTCCAGGAAGGGAGTGACAGTGTCCTTCTTGCCCACCATTGTATCCCGATAGCCTACCACAATGGTTAGAACACAGTGAATATTCATTGAATTCTTATTTTATGAATGTTTCTGTGTTTTTATTTGTGTCATAAGATTTAACACCTGCTCTACTTACTGCAAAAAATGTTGTGACTTTTTAAAAAGACTTCTTAAAGACTTTGAAAACAGTAAGGTACACTATTTCTACAATTTCCAAGACCTAGCTTGGATGCTTTCCATCAAACAAAATAGGAACACACTTTTTGCAGTTTTGACTGGATGCACTGCAAATGTAAAATCACTTAGTGTAAAATGGCTCTACAACTCTTTATTCTATTCATTTCTCTGTGGTCTCCCATATTTTAATCCCAGAAAGTATAACCTACCCTGCTGTCCCAGCTTTGTAGTTGAGTGTATCTGAATTGCTGTTTTATAGACTGTTGCTCTGGATCCCCTTCTGGCCCCAGTTTACTAAAAAGAAAAACCAAAACTAGAATCTCAAAGCCTCATTCTCTTGGATTAGTTAGAATATTCAGTTTCCCTCCTTAGAACCCTATTTCTTTTCAGAAATATATCTAGGTCAGGAAAGGCAAAACCTAGATAACATGCTGCTCCTTCTTCCTTCTCGCCTCCATCTAGAGCAGATACTGATATTCTGTTGTGACACCCGATGGTGCTCTAAGCATTTTTGCAATAGTACCTAATGAAATCTGACCATAAGATAAAACTTATCTTCAAACACATTTACATTCTTTGGTGCTGTCCTATTCAATAGCAGGAAGGATTATTTCTGAACATTTGGAAATAATCAACATAAGTCCTCTCCTAGTGAATTAACTATATGAACTCCAATGAGAAGAGAGGGTTCAGACACATCTATTACTCTCATTACCGTCATCTTCCTCCAAGGCATCTGGGTGAGAAACAAAGATAGGTTCTGAGGGGTATGAATCAGGCTCTTGCCATACCCAGGTTTCTTTAGTTTTGACGTTCAGCTTACAGAGCTGCTTATAAGAAAGAAAAATCAGTCAATATGCTTTACTTGACTAACATATGATTCAAAGTACTATTCGAATATTAGGAAGAGGGATTAATTACCCTGTCTGGAACAAAGTGATTCAAGCCAAGTCCATATGCATATGTGTAAGGTTTCCCACCATACTTCTGGTAATTGATTTGAGGAAACTCAAATGCTACAAAATAAAATACATGCTTAGGAAAACTCAGTTACTTTCTTTGAGTGGAACATTTTGTTCTCTCACATGTGAAGTTTTTTCCTATACCATCTCACCTTGGCGAGGCCCTGAAAAGAGAACCTCAGGTTCCAGCCAGATGGTCTCGTCACTGCACAGAATTGCAGTGGCAGTTGTGTTGGGGAGTGTGACTAAATTCTTGCCTGTGTCAGCCTAAGAAAGAGGATAACAGAAACCTCAGTGAACAAGGAATAAAATTCAAGCAGCCGTGAGAACAGTTTCCAGGTTTAGTTTCCTGAATTCTTCATTTCTTAAGTCAACATGTAGAAGAGACAGTACAGAAAACTCTAGAAGGGAGAGCCCAAGAACACGACTGGAAAAGCTGTTCATGACCATGTCAGTCACTGACTATGTATTACTGAGAAAATCAGTGATATATGAAAAAAAAATTTAACCTCGTAGGCCCTTAGTCTTCTCATCTGTGAAATGTGACTGACCTCAAAGAACACACAGGGCCCTGAGGATGTGGTTCTGGAAAAAGAAGTATTTTGCTTCACAGTGACAAAGACTTCAACCTCTAGGTATTCATACAATGTTTATCTCTTTTAAAGTTAGCTATATTTTTATTTTATTGGAAAAATATCATATCCTTATGTTGTCAAAAAAGAAAACAAATGAAAAAACTACTGGACCTGATGTTTTCTAAGATCTCTTGATACCGAAATTGCCCCCACGTCATTTTTCAGATTATATTATGAAAGGAATGAATAAATATCATGAGCTCTTCAAAGAACATATGCATTTAGTTTTGCATTAAATACCTGAATACATGGCTTGTACTAGACTCTACTCTAGACATTTGTGATATTTCAGAGAACAGAGTTCCTGTTGTTATGAAGTTTACATTCTAATTTGGAAAACTATAAATATAGATAAAGTGTTTAGTATATCATGAATGTGGAGAGAAAAACAGAGCAGAGTATGGGGAATCAGAAGTGTGAAGGGTAAGTGATTTATAATTTTAGTAGGTAGTCAGGGTGGGCTTCACTGATAATGTGATATTTGGGATAAAACTTGTAGGAGATGCAGGAAGCAATGTAGATATCTGGGGAAGAGCATTTAAGCAGAGAGAACAAATTGCAAAGGCGTGAGGCAGGAGTATTGTCAAGGGTGCTTGAAGAGCATTAAGGAGACCAGGTTGGCTGCTCTGACTGAGCTGGGGGGAGAACACGAGAGGAGGGTAGAGGGGTATCATGGGGCTAGACTGGGTAGAGCCTGATGGGTCATTGTGAGGACTTGGGTTTTTCCTGTGAGCAAGAGATGAGCAGAAGAGTTTGCAAGGCTAAGATTTATTTTTAAAAGAATCACTCTGGCTGTCCTGTCAAGATCCCTTTAAGAATAGGGGATATGTAGGTGTGAAATCAGGGGAATCAGTCTGTCTTATAGTAGTCTAGTCAAAAGAAGACAATGGTTCAGACTGGGCTAGTAGCACTGAAGTTAGTGAGGAATGGAAGGCAGAGCAGAGGATTTCCTGGTAGATAAGATACTGGATAGGGAACAGGCATGAAATTGAGTGAGAAGTCAAGGATGGCTCCAAGGTTTTGGGCCCAAATAGTTAAAAGTTGGAGTTGTCACAATACAGATGGGGATTACTAAAGGTGGGATAAATTTTTTGGTAGGGGAAGAGGAGAAGTTTGAGTTTTGTCTTATTAAACTTGAGATGTTTACTGAACATCAAAATAAAGACTTAGCATTGGCAATAGCATACAAGAATCTTGAGTTAAAAGGAAAGTTGGAAGTGGAAGTGTAGGCTGCTTTAAGGCATGAATCTTTACAAAGGAGTTAAAGAACAAATAGAAGCAGGACAAAGGGCTGAGTCCTGGTGCCCTCCAACATTAAAGGAAAGACAGGAAAGAAGGGATAAATGAAGGGGCAAGAAGAGTCAAGAGAAGGATTTTATAAGAAGGCAAAATAACAGCATGATATGCATGAATTAATGAAAACAGGAGGAGAGTGAGATATATGACAGAGTGGGAGAGTTGTAGAATAATGTCCTGAAGTGGGTGAGGAAGGATGCGAAAGACTAGTTCTGAATAAGATGATGGATAATTCAGTCTGAGTACAGATGCTGGTGGGTGGATATATGTGGTTGCAGGAGTCTACATTCTTTTCTGATTTCTTTCATTTGTTTCAGTAAAAGAGGAAACAGAGCCATTAGTTGAGTATGAGTGTGGAGGTGGGATGTGTTAGAAGTTTGAAAGAGGAGGGTGTGAAATACTTAACTAGGAAAATGAAGTTGGGAAATGTTGCAGTAAGGTTTGTGGTCATATATTTAAAAAATGGGCCAATTAACACAATTGTGTATTTTTAGCATTTAATTTGAGCCTTAGAGGTACAAGCATGGAGTGGGTAGAGACTTGAATTTAACTAGGATTTGTGACTTTGACAAATAAATTCTATAAACTAAGAAAGTGGCAAGAGAAATGAGGATCTACTCAAGGGGGTGATTACAATGATCATGAAATTTTAATCGAATAAGGAGGGAAGATAAGTCTTCAGGGGAGTGAGAGATGGTGAGCAGGTTCAATAGATTGGAGTTTCTGGTGGGAATTGTAATAGGGTTGGTAATCTTGAAAGGTAAGTCAGAATGTGTCCTGTATGAACCAAGGTTATGATACATGCACGGTCAAAGGTAATAGCAAGGTCAATTGTATGACTTGGGAAGTGAGTGGCTGAGTCAGAATGGAAGACAGGATCAGTGGAAGATGTCAAGGAATGAGGCCAGGCTGTTGGAAGAATCATCTATGATGTGTATACTGAAATCACTGAGAGTTGGAAGTAGATCAGGGGAGTGTGACACTGAGCCAAAAGAAGAGGGAGTGGTGATTAGTACGTGAAAACAATAATGAGGGGTTATATATATAAATGTACACATACCACTTGGGTATATAATTAGTTGAAGTGAGATTCAAAATTGAAAGATTTTAAGGTTGGGCAGAAGGAACAATGGTTTGGAAGCAGCAAAGTGGAACAAGTGTTCCAACCCCAGGCCCAGTGGTACAAGGGCTGGAGGAGAAACTGCTACCCCTGGAAACTGCTGCTGAAGAGACCAGTGTCTTAGAGAGTGTCAGATTTTTTGGTAAAAGAGATAAGATGGAAGGAACCTTCTGAGCAGAGGATAGATGGAATTTTTCTGGTGATGTACAATGAACTAAAAGGAAATAGTGAAGGATTTTCAGAACTGGGAAGAGATAGGGGGTGATGAATGGCTCTTTTAAGATTCCATGAAGTGTGACCTCAAGGCTCTTCGTGGTGATGTTGGGAAGCAGAGAGCAGCATGTATGTATAGATACATATTGATATATGACTACCTAAAGGTGGCAAAATAAAGAAAATTATATATAAAATTATATATAAAGAAATTTATAATTATATATAAATTATATATATGTCTCTCTCTCTCTCTCTCTCTCCATACAGAAGACCTGGAAATAACAATTGATCCAACATAGTGAGTCTTTATGATTTGTAGCATTGTATGAATTAAGAAAAAAAATTAGTTCAAATGTTGAACATTACTTATGGGACTGTAACTTTAACGATTTTACTCTGTTGTATCTTATTTTCTCTATTATTAAATTCAGGCTTTTTAATACAAGGTTTGAAAGAGGAGGGTGTAACATCATCTTTGCTTTCCAAACCAGCACCTCCTTTTCACTCTCCCTCTCACTATTTTTTTTTTTAAAATAGATGTGTTTATCCTCTGATACAGCAAACTTACTTCTGAGAGTCTATCCTATTGCTATATCTGCATATACATAAAAGAACATACATACAAAATTATTCCTTGTGACATTATCTGTAATAGTCAAAAAATGGAAATGACTCTGTCGCTCAGTAGTGAGGGACTGCAGCATATTGGTAAAAAAGAACACTGTGTGGTTGAAGAAAGTAAGATCTTCAATATATATTTTAAAATGAAAATAAGCAAGGAACAAAAATGTGGATACAGAAAGTTACTTTTTGTGTAAAAAGTGGGAATAATAATTCTATATGTTGGTATTTTTTAATATTTGCATAAACAAGCAAATGCAAAGGAAAGACATTAAAAGTTACACATAGAAGTGAAGAGGAATGGTATGGAATGGATGCAGATAGAGGTTGGAGTGACACTTTCAGTGCAAATCTTTTTAGATCATTTTGATTTTCTTACCATTTAAATGCACTGTCTATTCAAAAATAAGAAAGATATATTTAAAAATATCACCATTATTTCAATCGCTAAACCTGAAGCTTTAGTCATCTTATACTCTTTCCCTTCCTTAGCCCTTCCTTCAATTTGTTTCTCTCTTCTTTCCCTAATTTATGATCTAGTTTTCTCTTCATTACCAAACTTTAAAAGTACAGGCTATAGTAATTGATACCACATTGTCACTGTGGCTTGAAACCTGATTTCTGCCTCTCTCTGTATTCTACTGGAGGTCACTGAATCTGGTTTTTGGCTCCTTATTTCAGCTTCATTTTTTTCAGGTTGCCTATATGTAGCAGTGGACACCAATGAAACCCTCTCTTGCCTTGTCAATGTGGCATTTTCCTCTCTTAGTTGTAACTAGGACCCTTTAGTGATTTTTCTTCTTTCTTTTTCTGACTCCTCTTTTTCTACCACTTTCTGCACATGGGTGTTTCCCCAACTTATGTGCTTGGCTATCTTTTCTTTCAACATTTTCTGGCTGTCAAGTTCCTCATTTTTTAAAATCAACAAATTGGTAAGTTTCTTTTAGAATGCTTACTCCGAAGTATGAACTTTTGCTGCTAGCAATGTCTATCCTCGTATATTTGATCATCATTTCAATGCCAATAACTATTAGCTCTCTTCTTCTAACCCTGCTTTGTGTCACAAGGACCTGCACTTCCACATGAAAGCCTACCTGATATCTTCATGAAGATGTTGTTGATGCTGATCTTGTAATTCTCATCAACAACAATAAGATCAGCATCAAGAACATTTTCATGAAGATATCTGGTAGGCTTGCATGTGGAAGTGCAGGTCCTTGTGACACAATGCAGGTTTAGAAGAAGAGAGCTAATAGTTATTGGCATTGAAATGATGATCAAATATATGAGGATAGACATTGCTAGCAAGAGAAGTTCATACTTCTTTGTTGTTGATGAGAATTATAATGAATATTATTTAACACTTAGTTTATGTGGGGGACTATATTCAGAGATTGATATATATCACCTCATTTATTGATCACAAAAATCCTGTATGGTGGATATAGATAAAGAAAATGAAATGAAAGTGTTACTCAGTTGTGTACAACTCTTTTGAGACCTCATGAACTGTAGCCTGTGGGGCTCCTCTGTCCATGGGATTCTCCAGGCAAGAATAATGGAGTGGGTAGCCATTTCCTTCTCCAGGGGATTTTCCCAATCCAGGGATTGAACCTGGGTCTCCTGCATTGCAGGCAGATTCTTTTACTGTCTGAGCCACCAGGAAAGCCCAGATAAAGAACAGGGGATGTGAAAAGGTTAAATGTCTTGCCCCAAATGACACACGAGAAAGCTGGAAGCCCTGGTCAACCTGGCTTTGTCTTCAGCCCTTTCACTCATTATTACCCTTTCCTCCTAGTTTTACAGTTCATGTCTATCTCCAGATCTGCTCTGCCTATGCATTTCTTATTTCCAAAGGCATCAACATTCTAGACACATTTTGCATGTCTAAGACTTAATTCATTCTGCCATCCAATCAAATGTAGGATCCTTTTAATTCTATCTGTAGGAGCGCTCACTTTTGTCTTTCTGTTGCTACTACCACTACATTTTTCTGGCACCTGAGTAATTTAAATTGTCTCCAATCTCAGATATCTTTCTCCTTCCAATACTACTTACACATGACACAGCCTTATTTTAGAAAATCAAAACAGCAAATGACCTAGTTATTATTTAGTCCAATTTATTTAGGTTTCAGAGCGAACAACTGAACTTTGGGGTAACTTGTTCATTGAGAGACTTGCTCAGGGAAGTCGGACATTTAGCAGGAGAGACAACTAGAAGAGTCAGTACACTTGATACTCAGTCCACCCACTCTGAGTATGGCTTTCTTCTATTCAAAATCTTAATTCCCCACTACCTGTCAAATAAAATGCAAACCTTTTAGCCTAGCCTAAAAGCCTTCAAAGATTACCAATCTATTTTTTTTAAGTTATTTTTGCCCACTTATCCCACTGTTTTTGTTTATTTGTTTATGTTCTAACCAGTTGGATTGCAATCAGGTTTTTTTGTTTGTTTGTTATTTTGGGTTTTTTTTAGCAATCAGTTTTAAAAAGATTTTGTAAAAAAAAGAAAAACAGGTTGAGAATGAAAACTGGTTTTCAATTTGACTCTGTCACAACTGGATTTTGCTAAGTCATGAGCTTCAGTTTCATTTATAAAATGAGAGGAATTGAATTTGCTAATTTTTTTTTCCTTCCCTCCTCCCTCAGTCGCCATCTTCTGAATTTGCTCATTTTTAAAGTCCCTTCCAGTTCAGAAATTTTGAGCCTTTATGTATAAACACACAACAGGAGAAAAAGTCCTGAGAAAGATGAAACATTCTCGTTATATCTGAAATCTATGTAGAGGGTGGTTACCTTGTCAATATTCAAAGGAAGTACGTATCTCCTAACTTCAGGCTGAGGAGCCTTTCTGGCATTTTTTTTCACCTCTTCCCAGTTCTCACGTAAATTGGCTAAATATAAATAATTATAAACAAATTCAAATCTGCAAAAATAAGAAATCAAACATGAGGGCAGACAATTACAAATAACTTTAGAGACATGATGCATGTCTTTCAAAAGGACAAGTGCCTGTCTCTTCTTTAGTCTCCAATCTAGAAACTCCTAAAGACTCAGGTATACTGGAGCCACTTCTCCTGCCCACTCTGGGTAGAGAAAAGAGTCCTGCTTCATGGGTATGTTTAAATAACAGCAGCCTTTGAAACTTTCTGCTCTGTTTCTCTATCACCATTCTGTCTATGTCTTTAGGGGCTACTGTCTTTTTTAGTGACTTGCTGTTCTAAAAAAAGCATGTCTGTCTTTTTTTTTTAAAAAAATGAAACCCAGAATAGATGCAGTTTAAGGCTCCTCAAAGGATCTTGTTAAATTTGAGGGAAATTAAGTTTAAGTTCATTCATCAAGTCATAGAATCTTTTATTTTCAGGTCTGTTTCGTGGACCTGAGCAGTTTTCAATCATTACCCATGGTTTGGGTAAAAAAACCTGATTTCCAGGAGCAACTGGAGATGTAACATTTATCCATTCAATGTGCTCTCTTACCCTTTCCAGCAACAGAGATCCACAATCAGAAACTCATGGTCTTCATAGGTATTGATGTGATGAAAGAGGTTAAAAGGAGAGGTCCTGTATTTGTTATTGATGTACTTTTTTCTTTTTTTGTCAGCAATATGAAGCCAAACCTAAAAGTGAGAATATTTTGATGCATTTAAAAAGAAAAAAAGTATGCATTATGAAACACATATTCTTTGGACTCATCAACCTGACAAATAAATGTATGACTTACCCCCATGGTTTCATTGGACTCAAAACAATCCATGTAGTTGGCTCCCCAGAGACTCCATGAAGAAAGAAACTTGAACAGATTAATTTTTACTGGTGTCTCCACAAAAACAATATAGTTGGGAGTCAAACCAAAACTGTTCAGAAACAGAAATAAACTTGTGAGTGGGAAGGGTTGATGCTCAAACCACAGAGAAATATGTACACATGAGGTATGCTCAGTTATATGAATCAACAGTGCCTACATGAAATTAATTACATTTAAATTTAGGTTTCTGCAAGAAAATGTCATGATCAGGACTGGTATCAAAGGTAGGCAAAGCAGATCTTTAAACTTGAGTTTTCCTGAAGATTCATAGCAGGCCTTCGAGTTACCTATGGACGTAAGATGGCTTGAATCGGTCACTGCAGGGGAATTGTACAACGATCTCTGACTTGCTTATTGGATCTTCCTTGTCTGAAATAAAGTGGTTTTAAAAGGCTGTGGAACAGCCTCTTTTTTTAAATACAAAGCATTTAGAACAGCTTATGCGAGCAAAGAAATACATTTTCAGATCTTGATTTTTTAAAGAGTTTATTTCCATTTTCTTGGTCACTGGCATTTCTGAGGGAAATTTCATGTGGAGCTGCAATCACCCAGGAAAATCCAAATAGCAGCAGATTTGGAAAGTGCACTCAAACAGTGTGTGGTAGATAGAGTATAGTGGACTCACATCTTTCTAACTGGAGGTGGGTTCTAAGTCAAGGGAGTAAGGCAAAACTTTAGTATGGTCAAAGTGACTTTTACAATCTCTTAAATTAGCTGTAAAGTTGTAGAATATGTGGTTTTGTTGTCTGTGGGTGCTAAGTCCCTTCAGTCATATCTGATTCTGTGTGGCCTTATGGACTGTAGCCCATAAGGCTCTTCTGTCCATGGAATTATCCAGGCAAGAATACTGGAGTGGGTTGCCAGACCCAGGGATCGAACCCCCCTGTCTCTTAAGTCTCCTGCATTGGCATATACCACTAGCGCCACCTGGGAAGCCCTTTTTGTGTCAATAGCCCTGTACAATAATTCTTAAGCACATTAAAGTTTATTTGCTACTAAGGCAGTGTCTTTAAACCTTAGTGTACACCAGAAATACATAAAGAGCTTCTGAAAATACTGACCATAGGCCCACCCTCAGAGTTACTCATTCAGTCTACCTCAGGAGGGGCTTGAGATTTGTATTTCTAACAGGTTTCCAGGTGATGCTGCTGGTCCAGGATCTAAACTTCACAAATTATACTAAGCAAAAACTAAATAAAAATCCATATATACTCAAATAATTCTATTAACAAGATCAATATCAAATTTATGACAATGAATGGAAGATGAATGTAGAATTCTAATACTCTCTTCTGTTTTAGCATCTTCTGTATAGTCTATATATGAGTTAAAAGGTTTTATTTGTAGTTTTGGGAATTAAATACAAATAAAATACTAAGTACACTTTCATATACATAGACATATGTTTGTTTAAAATCTTAATTTTGTCTGGCACATGGATAAGTGCTCAATAACTATTTGTTTGATTTGAATCTAAATTCTGTATGATCAAAGTCACATATACACTACATCTTTGAAACACTGTAGAACAGAACATGACCACATGTTTTTTATATTTTCAATTTGTCATTTCCTACTATGGTGCTCTTGGGTATTTGTCCCCTGGTAGGGTGAGGATGAGGATAGTTTTCTGAAAATCTGAAAGTAATTTAACAGTCCATATAGTGGAATCCCGTATTTCCAGTAATTTTCTCACATTATAGATACTTGTTTTAAGAAGAGTCAAAGTGGTAAACTGACCTGCTTGTAGTGGTGGGATCTTTACAATATTGTAGGCAATTGAAAAATTTTTCCCAAAGCAATTACCAATGTTGTAAACAGTCCCGTCATTTTCAATGTGGGGGTGAGCAGTGGCTCCATTGACTGAGACATAGTTGCAAAGGTCAACCTATGGAAGGAAAAGTGATGTCACCCATATTAAGAGAAAGACTGTATTCCATCTTTGGTCCCTCAGTCTGACCTCACCTCTACCATCACCTTCACCCTAAGTGCACTTTCTCTTTCCTTCCATCTCGCTGGGTCCTACTTTCTTTCAAACCTGTGGAAGTTCCAGCTTTAGTGCAGAGCTCTTCTCTGACCCCCACACTGACCCTTTATGCCTTTGAAATCTTTAAGTTCTCTCTGATTGTGCTCTTCTGTTGATGTAGACCATGAATTGCTCTGGTTGGTTATTTTCCTTTTGTATATACAAGCTGTCCTCAAACAGTGATGAATTTTGATCCTGAAACTTCTTTACATTTTCCTTATTGAATTACATTGAACTGCATGCTGATAGCTATTCATTTTCATTTTATAAAAATACAAATTTTGTATGATATAACCTAAATACCAAATCCAGTGTCTTACATGTAGATGAATTTGGAACTGAAAGAAAACTCAGAATTCTAGTATAGAAAGTCTTAACCTAAACAGACTTCAGGGGAACCATGAATTCCTGGAATTAATGGAAACTTCTGAAAGCAGGATTCAGTACTTCAATTGAATTTGATTCTCATAAAAAATTAAAAACCATAAACCTATCACAAACCTCTCAGGTTACATAAGGAGAACTTGAGGAGTCAGAGAGTTCAAGTGACTTGTCAAAAGGTGCAGAGCACTAGAATTTCTGCTTGGGACCTGCTCAGTAGAGATTTATTGAATAAATAATCCATGATTATACATTTGTCTAACCGAAGTTCTTTCTATTTGATTAAGAGAATATGTTTTAAAGCTTAGGGAGTTTTTAGTATTCTCATTTAAATATTAGGCAAGACATTCATTCATTCAGCCATTTGTTAAGTACTCACTGGGCTTCTATTATATGCCAGATGCTTTGTCAGTGTTTAGGAAAACAGAGATGGTCCTTGCTTTCAAAAATTTCAGTATTGATTTGCAGTATCCAATACTGTAGCCACATGTAGCAATTTAAATGTAAGTTAATCATAATTAGATAGAACTTCGAATTCAGTTCCTCAGTCACATTAGCCACATCCATGTGCTCAATACTTGGACAATACAGATATAGAAATGTAGAAAGTTCCATTGACAGCACTGTACTAGATAATTGATTGGCTCAAGACTGAGAAAGGAGTACAGCAGGGCTGTCTGCTGTCACCCTATATGCTGAGCATATCATGAGAAATCCCAGGCTGATAAGTTACAAGTCAGAATTAAGATAGGTGGGAGAAACATCAACAACCTCAGATATGCGGATGATACCACTATAGTGGTGGAAAGCAAAGAGGGACTAAAAAGCCTGTTGATGAGGGTGAAGGAGGAGAGTGAAAGAGCCAATTAAGGCTAAATATTAAAAAAACTAAGATCATGGCATCTGGCCCCATTACTGCATGGCAAATAGAAGGGGAAAATGTGGAAGTGGTGAATGGTTTCCTCTTCTTTGGCTCCAAAATACTGCAGACCATGACTACAGCCATGAAATCAGAAGACAATTGCTTCATGGCAGGAAAGCGATGACAGACCTAGACAGTGTGTTGAAAAGCAGAAATGTGATTCTGCTGACAAATGTCCGTATAGTCAAGGCTATGGTCTTCCAGTGGTCACATACGGTTGTGAGAGCTGGACCATAATGAAGGCAGAATGCCAAAGAATTGATGCCGTCAAACTCTGGTGCTGGAGAAGACTCCTGAAAGTCCCCTGGACATCAAGGAGATCAAACCAGTCAATCTTAAGGGAGATCAACCCTGAATACTCTCTGGAAGGACTGATGCTGAAGCTGAAGCTCCAGTATTTTGCTTATCTGACATGAACAGATGATTCATTGGACAAGTCCCTGATGCTGGGAAAGATTGAGGGCAGAAGAAGGGAGTGTCAGAGGATGAGATGGCTGGACAGCATCACTGATGCAATGAACATGATACTTGTGCAAACTTCGGGAGATGGTGATGACAGGGAGGCCTAGCATGCTGCAGTCCATGGGGTCGTAAAGAGTCAGACACGACTGGGTGACTGAACAACAACACTAGAACAATAAGCTGGAATAAGTGTAGTAAGTGCAAAACCGTATCTGTAAAGAAAAGCCATTTAACCCAAACTGGGAGATTAGGCAGGGCTTTCCAAGGGCGATGACTCCAACTCACGTTGAAAGATGAGTAAAAGTCAGTCAGATGCAGAAGGATAACAGTGTGTTCTAGGAAGCAGGAACCTTACTGTAAAGGCAGTTGTAAATAGAGTTGTAAATAGTGAATGCTGCTTGGGGAATTCTAGTCATTCAGTATGGCTGTGGTGAAGAGCACACAGGGAGAAGGAGAAATAAAGATGGGCCAGCCACAAAGGTCTGTGTTTTAACTCTATCTTGGAAACTGTGGGTGCACTAGATGGAATAGCACATTTATACTTGCATTTTAGAAAAAAATTGCTTCAACTGAATTAAGGAAGCTGTATTTAAGGGAATCAGTCTGGAGGCAAAGGTACTTGTTAGCAGGCTGTTTCAGTCATGGTAAACAAACAAACAATCCTCAAATTTTTAAAACTACATGTTTATATGAATTTAGGGTATAGTATTGCTCACAATGAAACCTGACTCCTAATAAAGTCTATTTTGGAGCCATACCATGAACTTCACACTTTCAGTTAAATTACCATGGCAATCTGATGCACTGTCAAAGTCAAGTGAGTAGTTTAGAAACTTAGTTTCAGAACTTCTCTAAACGATCTACACACACACTCATATGTGGTTACAAACATACATCCAAACCAAGAAAAAGCAGTTGAGAATATGTCAAACCTTAGTTAACAGTCTGTGGGATTATAAATCGGCCTGTAGTATTGAGACCCAGTGTTGCGACGACTTTCCTTTCTATTCCTATTACACTAAGTTTCTCCTTCTGGTCTTCAGTTTCACTAACTGGTCTCCTAGTTCTTTTGCCCTCCCATACAGCTTACACATAGTTTCCAGATTAAATAACCTAAACCTTTGCTTATACCACTTCTCTGAACAAAAACTTTCAGTAGTTTACCATCAACCAAACAACTTATTCCAAATTTCTGTCCGTTATTCAAACTTCTAGTTTCACTCTACCCTTGACATGGCATGCTCTGATCACTAGTTTGCACCTAGGAGTGCGATTGTCCCCTAGCAGGGAAGTTGGAAATGTTGGGGAGCATTTGGGGTTTGTGCAATGATTGAAGACATATCTGGTATTTAGTGGGTGAGACCAGGGATGTCAAACCTCTGCAATAGGTGAGACAGTCCCCATAGTGATAAAGTGCTACCTGGCCAATGTCAATGCCACCTCCAAGGAGAAATACTGCAATTCTAGCCAAAAAAAATTATTCTTTATCCTCCAGTTTGCCACCTCTATTCATTTGGTCATGGTACTTCCTGTATCTGAAATGTTCTTTCCCCAAATTCAATGAAGTTTTGCCTTCCCTCTAATTTCAAGCTCAAATGCAATACTTTAAAATTTTCCTTGATCTGCTCTACTTCACACCCCTCAACACTGCTAGAAGTAATCTTTATATGCACTTCCATAGAAGGTTTCCTTCTCTGAAAGGACTTACTATATTCTGTGTTCTATTATAGTTAAGTAATATATTTAATTGATTTCTCCACCTATATGTTAAGTGCTCTGAAGGCAAGAATGATGCCTTGAAAACAGCTGCAACTTGATAAACATTGGTTGGAAATGTAGATCTGTCTTACTGAATGCTGCACTGAGACTGCCTCATATCTCAGCAAAATTTATCACTTTCTAATATTTCTCATGTGTTTCTTTATGCTTTTTCATTTAAGGTATGGCTTTATTTCAAACAAGAAGTTCTATAAGAAGGGGTAAAATTTGTGCAACACACTTTCTTAGAACCATGAACTTAATCTTTTCAATATTAAATGTGCCAGTTCCATGCTAGCCTATAAAAACCACGAAGAGCAGGGACCATGTTGTCTTACTCATTGGTGTATCTTTTGCATCTAGCATACACTCTGGTACATGGAAGGGACTTAATACTTGTGTCACAAATAAATATGTTAGGCATTTTATATAGTTTTCCTCTAATTCACACAATAAGTGTTTAAAATTTCACAGATGAGAAGAAAAGTCTGCCTTATGTCACATAGCTAGTAGTTGATGACAAAGCAGTGATTTGAAACTTAATGTACCTGGCTCTCATATTCTTCCAAACAAAATGTTCATTGGACTTAATTCTAAGGTGCAAATTCTAAATTCCTAAGAAATATCTTCTGAGTACTGTGTCCTACCTGCTTAATTGTTTCCAAGGTCTCAGGATTAATCTTTGTAATGAAGTTGGTCTCTGTGCAGGCATAGTAATCTTCCCCCACTGGGTATATATTAACAAGGGCATTGTCAGTAACCTCCACTCCTCGAAAGTAAGAAAAAAACCTGTAGAAGCAAATGGATTTTTTAGTCCAGTAACTTTCAAGCCATGAGAGAAAAAGGGCTAATGTAAAATGTCTTTAATAACATGCAGTTGGGTTTTAGAAACCTGGAAAATATATTCTTGCAGGGATCTGGGAAAGCACAGGTGCCAAATTCTGTTATGACGATCCTTTTCTCAGTCATTGCCCGTACGTAAGCATCAGTGCGGATGAACCTGAAGGACATTGAGACATGGGAAAGGTTACAGAGAAGGGGAATTAGTGTAGTCCCTGGGGAGCACAGACGGTCATTCCATGTACTGTTACCAAGAAAATCATAAATTCACAACATGAAGAATGAAGAGTCAGGTCACTTTCTTGGGGTGACTGAAGGAGAAAGAGACAATGTGCCATGAGGTTCAATTATAAACTTCACAGTGACAGAAAATCAAGGCTCAGAGAAGTTAATGATCGGCATATATGGCCTGAGCCAGAAAATATGACTTTTCCATATCCCACCATGCAGCCCTATGGATAGTTCAGATTGGGCCTCTGACTTCCTGTAGCCTATGACTCATCATCCTACACTGAGTGGGGAGGTATAGAACATGGTGTGCTGAATTAGATTTCCTTCAATCTTCTTCATATTCCTCGAGTTTTTTTTTTTAATTTAAAATTTTATTTTGCTACTTTTAAAAGTAGATATTCTTGAATCCAGTCTCTTACACAGGCAGACCTCCTTAACCATATCCCAGACTAGACAGCATACGTTGCCTAGGGTTTCTCATGTGGAGAGCCAATTAAAATTTGATTTTGTACTTTTGTGAAGAGGAAAAAGTACCAAGGTCTTTAGAAGGCATATAAAGGCTTTCTCTGACCTCCAAAATAAGCGTTCACAGCTAAATTTTTGCTTGACCTGATCTGTTTCTTTTCTAAAACAGTCCAAGTTATCCCAACTACTTCAAGACTCCATTTATTCTTGCTTTTGATGTCTCTTCAGAATGCCTGAAATCTGTGGTGATCAACAAAGCCACTAATAGGCCTGAATATTAAAGCATAAAACAAAGTATTTATTGTGGTGCTAATGAGTCTTTGTAATGAAGCTGGAATGATGGCTTAGGGCCTCAAGCCTTTTAGCAACCATCTCCTGTTTTTAGAAAACTTATTCCTGGTATTATTATGACATATTTGGTCCTTGCCTGCTTTGTGACACCCCCTTCCTCCTTTCCATTGGCCTTTCTGATTATTAAAAAAGAAAGAAATAAAGCAATCCATGGTCTAATAATAATAAAATGACTATTATTATTATTAAATGCTTCTGATGGACTAAGCACTGTGTTCTCATTTTATCCTTGTAATAAACTCTGAAGTAAATTCTTTTACTTCTCCCCTTTTTATAGATGACAAACAAAGAAGTAGAAGTTAACAACTTGCCAAAGGGCACCGACCTAGGCAAATGGTATCTAGGACATACAGGATTTGAGGCCAGGCAAGTCAGACCCCAAAGCCCTAGTTCTTTGCTGTTTCTTTATCCTGTCCTATAGCTCCCAGGTGTCCATGCAGACTCATGGCCCAGGAGGATTCTGACTGGAGGTGAGTATAAGGTTTCCTCTTGGGTTCAGGAAGTTAAAAAGCACATGCAAGGAGGAGCTGAGCTAGGCCCCAACCCTAGGAAGGGGAGTGGAACCTAGTCTTCTTTACCTTCTGTGGTATGTGACATGTCCTTCTTTAAAGTCAAACTTGTGCAGGAGGGCTTGCCCATCAAACAGGTGATAAAATGGTTCAGATCCTACTTCAAAGAGTCCTGGCCCACATCGAAGAAGACTGCCGGTCAGCCAGAGGGGGATCCTGCCTGTGAGGAAAGCGAGACACAGAATCTTGTTTCTTATACCTGCTCTTCTCATCCTTGGTAAGGAGCAGTGATTATATAAGCCATCTGGATGGGCAGCCTTTTACTTCTGAAGCTGGCAGTGATTTCCATTCCCAGCTCTCACGTGGGGTAGCTCTCGGGAAACATCTGCTGGCTGATTCTCCTTTTTCTAGGGGACCAAGAGGGGGGAAATGTGGCAGCATCTCTGAGCTTAAACAAAAGGTTGGAAGGAGGCAGGGAAGAACACCTGGAGTGGAATGGGATTCTCCATTTAACAGATTTTCCCAGCTACCAATACATTTGCCTTTTTACCATCTTACTTTTAAGAAAAAAAAATCAAATTTCTTGATACAAGAGGGATGGATTAGAAGTAGAGATCGAGATACTAAAAAAAGATGTGTCGATAGAACAAACCATTTCAGTGAAACAACAGGATACTGGATTTTTAAAATACAGAGATAAATTCCTTTGAGAATATGGGCTACTGTCCAGATAAAGGTCACCTTGCTGTAGCAGAAAGTACACAGGGCTGTCAGAGACCTGAATTCCGGTTCAGGATTTGCTGTGTGCTATCTCTGGGCCTTAGTGTCCTTCTCTGCAAAATGAGGGACACACAATAAAGGTTTAAGGCCATTCAGTCAGGTTGTGCCCTTTGGCACAACCTAACAGGCTGTGCCCTTTGGTCCTTTGAAAGTACAGCATATGGCAGTATTTGTTTAATCCTTATCAACTCTCCAACCCGAAATGTATTATTTCATACAGTTTAGTTTCAGCAGTCCACTTTATAAAGATTTATATTTCTGATAAAAATTTGAAAAGACATGGCTCACCTAAAAGACACAGCATTGATTTGATTGCTAGCATCTAGACTGTTAACATCAGAATCTAGTTGAGAAAGAGTATTGGGTTCATCTCTTCTATTTTCTACAAGAGGCAATTGGGAGGAAAGAGACAGTTTAAAGAAAAGCAAAGGTATAGTCCCAGTAATTAAGGAATTCTAGCTAGGTAGCATTCTTTAAATATATATTTTAGAAAAGTTAAGAAAAGAGGAAATGGGTTCTTGGTATAAAAAGCCCAAATCTCCAGATTCCTCTCTTTGTAGCCCACAGGGGAGCCGGTGTTGAGAGATGCCAATGAATAAGGAGACAGCGAAGAGAGATCTCGACAAAAAAGAGAAGATAGCTTCAAGAAAGCTGAGACCAACCTGTAACATGGGCTGTGAGCGGTGAGGATAGCTCCTCCACAGTTTCAAACAGTTTCTTGTAACCACCAGCTGGATGTTCAACTCTGAAATGGTGGAATAATGAGGAAGAAGTTCATGTGGAATCTCAGAGAGCCCATGGAGACAGAGGCAGAGCTCCAGGAGAAAAGATGTCCTCTACTCAATGCTGGTGTGTACTGCCAGTCTAGCCGGGGCTGGGAGTACAGTGTTTTGGGAGGCGATATGGTGGTGGTGGTAGAAACTGGGGAAGGGTGGCAGAAATGTATCACGTTGGCAAGGGGGCCCAGGTTGGTGTTTCTCCTTTGATGACAAGGAAAATTACCTCCCTTTTAATATTACAGTGGACTTGCCTTCCGCAGTTTTCCCATATTTCTGAGGACAAGTCAACAAATCCCATTATTATTGTCACTTCTCTTTCTGACCAAGTCTTTCCCACAGAATTATCCTACTGTGTCAGTACCCTCAGCTTACTGCATCATTCATTCTCTTGACTCCCAGACAGTCTCATCCCTCTCCCTCTTATGAACTGGGAGACCACAGGTTTTGGGGTTAATATCTCACCCTTTGCTATTCATGCATATTATACCATCATCTCTTCCCACTGTCTTATTTCGTCACCAATCTCTAAGAGCTTCAGTACATTTTAAAAGTAGTCAGACAAGAATATTTAGGTCATATATACATATATATATATATTTTAATGTTCTTCCTTCTTACTTTGGCTCATTATATAACTTCTTAGTGACAGCTCTGACAAGACTGCCTAATTATGACAGTTATCTTTTATTAAGCATTTACTATGTGCCACATACCATCAAAAGGAATGTATATGCTCTTCATTCATTTAAATCTCACAGCTCCACAATGAGGTAAGTACTGCTTATCCTATATATGGAAAAGCTGAGACTTTAAAAAGTAACTTGCCTAAGATAACACAGTTAGGAAATGACTGGACAAGAAGTGGAACCCAGGTCTGGCTCATTGAATCTTCATGCTCATTACTGCTTCCAAGGCCCATTCCAAGCCATAAAATCCCACTGTAATTTAGACCTGACTTCTAGATATTTGCTTCAATATGTATATAGGAAGAAACAAACTCTCCCACCAAGACCCAAGGCTTTCCCTAAATTGATCATCAGTTGTCTTCAGGAGCTCTTGAAATAGCACATTTACCATCAACACACTAAAGCATTAATAAAAAATCTCCCAGAGATACTTACTGGATGGACATTTTCTCTCAGCAGAGGATTGAGGGTTCTGGCACCAACTGTGAGGAAGCAAGTCCTCAGCCATAGGCCTTTATATGCCTTCTAAATCCCCCTGAAAGGAGAGATGGCTTTGGGAATCCGTTCCCACCCCCTCAGCTGAGAGAGGGAAAACAGAAGTGGCTTTCAGCACTCAGATACTCCTGATACTTGAGTATTAATTTGGGCTGGCTGCTCGCTTAATTGTTTTTTGGCCATCTTCCAGAGACCTCAATCCTTCCCAAAGAGAACAAGAAGTGGATTAGAAAGAAAGGAGTTGTGTGGGAATGGCTAGCATCAGGCCTGAGCTGATCCGTGTCACCCCACAGGAACCTGGCATCCTTCTCTGGGGCCCACCTCCCTCTTCTTCTATGCCCTCATCTTTACCCTCATTCACTATTCTTTCACTTACTTATTTTTGAAAATATCTGTTACTCATTGTCTATGGAGCAGGCATGGATAAGCTATCTTCACAGATCTTGTAACTCGGCAAGAATGACAAGAAACTAACAAGCTAGTCTATAAAATTTTTATCAGTGCTATGATTGGAGAAGTATGGAGTATTATAGAAGCACACTGCACTACCTCTCACCCTCTCTGGTCACCTTTTTGACCCCTTTCAGGGCCCATTTCTGACCAGGCTGAGAACTTCAGCTGTGTTCTTTTGATCTGCTGCAGATGAACCCCTTTTTATACTGTTGCTTGTCACTAAAGCTTGCCTGAACTCCACATCACCTTTCTATTCCTTGGTACATGTGTTGCACTCAGAAAGTAAATAGCAATATTCCATTCATATTTCCACACTCTTTTACTAAGCCTCAATAGTTTGTCAGCACAAATGTGGTACTGTCCAAAGGGGTCCCCAGGAACATACAAGATATATGCTCTACCAGCTGATAACTTTAACATTTTTAAGAAACTCATTAACCTGTAAACCTGTTAAACTCATTAAACTTTTTAACTCATTTAAATATTAATAAGTGGTTAGGCTTCTCATCCTCAAGATCTTCAACAGACCTATAAAGCAATTAATTTGAGCACTCTCGAAGATAGATGACAAAACCTTACGTTCCCAGCATGTTTTGCAGTGAAGATTCAGGCATGTGTCCTGGACTCCATCAATGAGAGGCAAGGGCAGAGGTCTTAGTGGTAGCACCCAGTGCCCAAGATCAGGCATATCTCTATTCATCCAAGGCAGTCATGGTGTGGAACCATTCTACAGTGGGGCCTGGAGCATTATCACTGGACTGGTAGTCTCCAAGTCTCATTTTTTAGCTATCCTGGAGATTCTATTAGCTATCCTGTATGTAAAATTTGTGTGTGTGGCTTTGATTAACTTAAGGCAGTTTTACTATTTATAACTAAGAGCTCTGTATCTAGAAAATGATGGTAACATAGGATACTGTAGTATCACATAGAATGAACATCTGTATTGATGTATGGAGGATTTTTGAGAACATATCTAAGATGAGATAGGAAGAATATATAAATATTAGCCAGTCAAAGCACAGGGAAAAGAGAGTTTAGGCACAATTTGGAGGAATTTACAAAAGTCTGGAAGTGAGCAAGATCTGGGAAAATGGCAAGAGATGAAGTTAGACTAGAGATAATCATAGGTTGGATGGCATCACCGACACAACGGACATGGGTTTGGGTGGACTCCGGGAGTTGGTAATGGACAGGGAGGCTTGGCATGCTGTGGTTCATGGGGTCACAAAGAGTTGGACACGACTGAGTGACTGAACTGAACTGAACTGAATCATAGGCCAGATTTTGCGGAGCTGTGTGAACTATGAAAAGAAATTGATACCCATATCATGAGGACAGAGGGAATCACTGAAATATTATGCCCAGGAGAGTGATCTGATCTGATCTGCCTTTTATTAAGACCACTCTGATTACACTGTGGACAATATGTTGGAATGGGAGACTTGGGCAAGATAAACTAGAAAGTGAACAAATAAGTGAAGGTAGTTGATGAAGGGGAATTTTTGGGTAGGAGGGGGATAATAATGGTAAGATTCAAGAACTATTTCAGAGGAAGACTGATAAAACCCTGTGCTTGGTGAACGTATGGAGAAATAAAAGGCAGAACAAGGTTTGCCTGAAGGTTTCTGACTTGAAATATGGTACAGTTCAATGAGATAATGCATCAGTTCAGTTCAGTCGCTCAGTCATGTCCAACTTTTTGTGACCCCATGAACTGCAGCACACCAGGCCTCCCTGTCCATCACCAACTCCCAGCGTCCACCCAAACCCATGTCCATCGAGTTGGTGATGCCATCCAACCATCTCATTCTCTGTCATCCCCTTCTCCTCCTGTCCTCAATCTTTCCAGCATCAGGGTCTTTTCAAATGAGTCAGCTCTTCGCATCAGGTGGCCAAAGTATTGGAGTTTCAGCTTCAACATCAGTCCTTCCAATGAACACCCAGGACTGATCTCCTTTAGGATGGACTGGTTGGAGTTCCTTGCAGTCCAAGGGACTCTCAAGAGACTTCTCCAACACCACAGTTCAAAAGCATCAATTCTTTGACACTCAGCTTTCTTTATAATCTAACTCTCACATCCATACATGACCACTGGAAAAACCATAGCCTTGACTAGACGGACTTTGTTGGCAAAGTAATGTCTCGCCTTTTTAATATGCTGTCTAGGTTACTCATAACTTTCCCTCCACGGAGTAAGCGTCTTTTAATTTCATGGCTGCAATCACCATCTGATTTTGGAGTGATTTTGGAGCCCAGAAAAATAAAGTCAGCCACTGTTTCCCCATCTATTTGCATACTCTGTGTGATATTTTAGTGATGCAGAAAGAGAAAAGCCTGATTTAGATATATTTATTAAAAGAAAGACATCATTGGGAGTTGTGATAGTTTGAAAGCTTTATAGGGAAGTGAAGTGAGTTGGAATCTGAAGGACAGCCTAGGTATGGAGAAGGCAGAGAAGATGGAGAGGTCACTTCTGGTGAAGGGAGAGTGAAGGCAGTAGGAGAGGCACATGTTAGGAGGATTTTCTGACTTCGACACCATTTCTGCTGGATTTTTCTCAGGAGGAATCTCATTTCCTTGAGTAGAGCCATGTGCCGTATTGAGATACCTGTACACTGGCAGTCCACTGAAGAGAAATCTCAGGAATACCAGGACCCAGACACTCTTCTTCATGTTCACCTCTTATTACAAGGAGCCAAAAAAGAAGGCTTTGTGGCAGCCAGGTGCCAGAAAACCACACTACACTGTACACACTACACATGTGTACACTACACATGTGTACACTACACTACACATGTGTACACACTACACATTGGCTGAGTGACGGGGCATTAACAGACTATATTTTATATTGAATATCACTTCCAGGGAAAACCAATCTTACTGGTAACCACAACTGCACCAAACACCTTTCTTAGGTATTCCTGTGCTGCTGCGGGTGTAGTCATGTTATTTAAAAACAAGAACTGATTCTAGTGATTTTTGTATTTGGCTTTTACTCTTTGGTAGCCTGTATTTTTCAGCCTGTTTTAATATGAGAAGCCAGCTAGCTGCTTGAGGACTAATTGTTTGAAAAATACAAATAATGGCAATTCCAGGAAGGCTTACAGACTCATGGATTGTACGAAATGTCGTTACCATGTGTGATTAAAGTCACAATGAAAACTAATTACTATGTACTGAACCTCACTGGGTTCGAAGTTCTTTAGGTAAAAAGCAAGAAAAATAGGTATAAGCATTTTTTTTAGCTATGTACTCTGTATAAACATCGAGCAATACCAAAACTGAATCTCAGGGAGTTTGATTTCATGTCTAACTGTTCAGCTAATACCTTCTACGAGGTAACTTATTTCCTCTGTCCTGTCTCTGTGAAGTTACAGAACAGCTGGGTTATATCCTTTCCAAAGCCCCAAATGTAGACCTCTCTTCCAGGTCTGAAAGCGTTAGTAGCTCAGTTGTATCTGATTCTTTGCAGCTCCATGGACTGTAGGCCCCCAGGCTCCTTTGTCCATGGAATTCTCCAGGCAAGAATACTGGAAAAAAAAAAAAAAAAAGAATACTGGAGAGGGTTGCCATTTCCTTCTCCAGGGGATCTTCCGGGCAGAGGCTTTATGTTTGAGCTGCCAGAGAAGCCCCCTTCTAGGTCTAATTGTATCCTTCTGTCATTTCAGCGTGATACACTGGACCTCCAACGGAGTGTTACTTTTTCTTTCATCCTCTCCTCTTATTTTCTCCCTTTTATTTTAGTTATTTGGTAAAATCAAATCTTTGTTTGATTTCTGTGTTTTCCAAAGAAACTGTTTCATTGTGATAAATTTTGGTGGTGGTGTTGTCATTCAGTCACTAAGTTGTGTTCTACTCTTTGTGACCCCATGGACTGCAGCACCCCAGGCTCCTCTGTCCTCCCCTTTCTCCCAAAGTTTGCTCAAATTTGTGTCCATTGAGTCAGTGCCGCTATTTAACCATTTCATCTCCTGCTGCCCCCTTCTCCTTTTGTCTTCAATCTTTTTCAGCATCAGGGTCTTTTCCAACGAGTTAACTTTTCAGACTAGGTGGCCAAAGTATTGAAACTTCACCATCAGTCCTTCCAATGAATATTCACGGTTGATTTTCTTTAAGATTAACTGGTTTGATCTCCTTGCAGTCCTAGGAGTGAAGGACAGGGAAGTCTGGTGTGTGGCAGTGCATGGGGTTGCAGAGTCGGACATGACTTGGCAACTAAACAACAAAGTTGGATTTCTAGGGTTTTGCTTGAGCATTTAAATGAATATCTCTTCCTTAAGACTAAAGGAGGAATAGTTGAGTAGGAATGGATATATCAAGAGTTCACAGTGAAATCTGAGATGCTATAAGATCTCCATCTCCTCGATAGGGGTTAGTTGTTTATCCTTCCCTCCTGTAACACCTCCTTACTCTGAAGGAACTTGTTCAGTAGAAACAGAGTTTCAACCAAAGCAGTCATATTCCAAGGTCTATGTTCTTATAAATACTACTTTCATCCACAAATGGAAGTTCTGGTAAATGTTATTTTCTTGATTTCATTACATGCCCAATGATATTTTAGTGCTCCATGTAGATAGATGGGCCTGGAAGCTTCTCAGCTAACTTGCCTTCAACCATTTCCTAACCATACTGTCAGAGTCATTCCTCTTAAAGGAAAATCAGATCATGTCCCTTCTATACTTAGGACCTTTCAAGAGGTCTGCATTACCACTGGATAAAGTCCAAGTACTTTAGCACAGCAATAAGATCCCACACACCTGCCCCTGCCTACTTCTGTGTCAACATCTGCCGCTCTCCCCTTTCATCTGTGCTCTAGCAGTAGCAAGCTGTTTACTGCTTCTTGTCAACTGCATATTGTTCGTGCTTCTCTTTCTTCACACAGGCTAACTCCTTTACTTGGAGCTCCCCTCCGTCTTTCATCTGGTAAATTCCCAGTTTCCACCACAACCCTGATAGAGCATTGCTTTCTTGTGATGCCTCAGACAAGATATTCTCTTTTGTACTTTTTTTGAAATTCATGTATAAGTTTAAAATTTTGTATATATCACATCATGTTGTTCATTTGTTAGCATGTCTGTCTTCCACTTCTGATTGTGTGCATCTTGCTTATTGTGTGCTCAGTCACTTCAGTTGCCTCCAACTCTGTGACCCCATGGACTAAAGCTTGCCAGACTCCTCTGTGGGATTCTCCAGGCAAGAATACTGGAGTGGGTTGCCATGCCCTCCTTCAGGCGATCTTCCTGAGCTAGGGATTGAATCAGCATCTCCTGCATCACAGGCCAATTCTTTACCCACTGAGCCACCTGGGAAGCTCTTGCTTATTGTAGAGAGAGAATTAACTCACCCTAGCACAATGACATTTGGCTAAGTCATTCGACATCTGTCAGGATGGAAACTGGCAGCCACCCATCTGTTCCCCCAGGGTGAGAACCAATAGACGGTCAAAAGTTCTGCACTTACTTCTGCTGCTCCCCTCTCCTCCCATAAATCATATATAAGGCAACCCACCCTGCCCGTCTTCTCTCCCCTGCCACCACCAGAACTTAGTCTGCCCTGGCACCATTCAAAAAGATAATAGGCAAAGAAGGATATGTATAGATATCCTTATGATCATGCACACTCTGCCTCTCTCTTTCTCTGGGGATGTTAAACAGAAAAAGAGACTCAGATGTATAGAACAGACTTGTGGACTCTGGGAGATGGCGAGGGTGGGATGTTTCAAGAGAACAGCATCGAAACATGTATATTATCTAGGGTGAAACAGATCACCAGCCCAAGTTGGGTGCATGAGACAGGTGCTCCGGGCCTGGTGCACTGGGAAGACTCAGAGGGATCGGGTGGAGAGGGAGGTGGGAGGGGGGACCGGGATGGGGAATACATGTAAATCCATGGCTAATTCATTTCAATGTATGACAAAAACCACTGCAATGATGTAAAGTAATTAGCCTCCAACTAATAAAAATAAATGGAAAAAAAAAAAGAAAAAAAAAAAGAGTGCTCACTTGCTGGTGGATCCTGCCCCTCACTCATGGAATCCCCCTTGCTTTGTATATGCCTGTTTCAGTAATAATTTGAATAGTTTGTGGTCTCTGGTTTGAGTGTGGTGTATTTGGATATCTGATATCTTGAAAACTTACAGCCCCGCAGCAGCCTACAGTAACATTTATGCACTCTTATGCTCAGTGAATCAGTATAAGAAGGAAATAAAGCTTGTCTGCTCAATCAAGTTAATAGAGGCCACTAGAAGAACTGCCTTAATTAAATGAACACAAGAATAATTTAAAAATTGAATTTATAAATGAGTTCTTAAGGGTTTGGGCTTGTTTTTTTTGAAAGAATTTGAAATATTTTACTTTTTCTTAAAATCTTGATTATATTCATTTAAATTAATCAGCTGTTGATTCACAGAAAAAAAGGCACAATAAAAGAAAGTTCTGGGCCAGCCCCATTGGATTATGATGTCTCAGCTATTGAAGACCTCAGTACGCTTTTAAGTTCTCAGGTTCTGCCAGTTGGTACAAATGTAAAACAAGGTGGGGGGGGTTGGCTACTGAATCTTTTAGAACAGACTCCCCCCACCCTCTGGGCCAGAGAACTGGTTCATTAGACAAAAGAACCTTACATGTGGATTAGGAAAACTTATCCTCTTTACTTCAGGCACATGAACATCAGAAAAAGAGCTGTTCTAATAGCATTAGGAATTCTGGTTGCACTGATTCAGTTTATGGAATTACTGGATTGCTTATGAGTCATTCTCAGACAATGGAAGAATGGGTTTCCTAATAAGAGGAAGTAGTTAGTAATATTTAACCTTAAGTTCACTCTTAATTGTATTGCTTATCAGGATGTTATATCAGTTTTTATGTTTGTTTAGCCACTTAGTGACTTGAAGACAGTGCCCTTATTTATTTGTTACTGTGTTGTAAACCTCAGCACTTTATAAGTAATTGTTAAATGTTATATGCTATTGTAAATGGTACTGTTTTATTAATATGAGTTTATTCTCCTTGTTGATGCTAGTGTAGAGATGAATTGGAGTTTTGCATGTTGATCTTGTATCCAAAATTCTTCTAAACTCATTAAGAGTCCTAGTAGTTTTTTAAATATAAATCATCATGTTTTCAACATAAAGATCATGTTGCTATGAACAAAGACTGTCTTACTTCTTCCTTTCCAATCTAAATGCATTTTATTTCTTTTATTTTCTTGCCTTATCACACTGCTAGAATTTCAGGACAATGCTGAATAGAAGTAGTGAGAAATGATAGCCTCATCTTGTCCCTATCTTAAGGAGAAAGTATTGAGTCTTTCACTACAAAGCATGGCATTAGCTGTAGGCTCTTTCAAACATCTTTCATCAGGTTGAAAAAATTTCCTACTTGTTGAGGACTTTAAATCAGGAATGGAGGTTTGATTATGTCAAATGCTTTTTCTGTATGTTAAGATGATCATATGCAAATTGTTTATTAGCTTGTTAATATGGTGAATTGCATTGACTCATTTATAATAGAATATTAAACCAATTTTGCATTTTTGGGATAAACCAGAAAAATATACTATCATTTTACCAACTTTTAGATTCTGTTTGCTAAAATTTGGAGAGTTCTGCACTGTGTTCATGGGGGAATTGGTGTGTAGTGTTTTATTTCCTTTTCTGGTATTGATATCAA